TTTCCTGCTCAAGAACGAGCTCTTTGCACAGGGGGTAGCTTAATTAAGTGGCCTTTAATACCCGCCGCTACTCTACATGTGTAGGACTTACTTTTAGGTGTGTTTGGCCTAGAGGATACAGCCCCAGCAGTCTACCGATGGTCCAGCCGTGCTGATGGACACGGCCGTTACTTTTTTGGATGATGGTGTTCGCTGGTGTTCGCTGCTGCGGAGAAAGTGACACAGTCTCGCGTTGACACGTTCAAGAAAATAAAAACTATTACCGCCGGCGTGCCAGGGTGTACTCTCCGGAGTGCACATATATATCCGAATGATGTGAGTCCGTGTTTCTACCCCGATATGCGTATGGCATTCGCCATGCGGTAGGGCATGGAACGTCTACAAATTCTAGTAGAAGTACGTCTTGCTCGCGCACCGCAAGAAAAAAAACGTACTGCAGTAGACTACTTTCGGTATGAGCGATATCAGAACTACGTAGTCTATTATTGGACAAAGAATGAGCAGCTGTTCGAATTCCTACTTTTTGTAGGAAAGAGCGTCCCGCCCGCCAGACGATGTCGCCGTTTCTTTTGCTCGTGCGTAGAAGTAGATAGTCGAAAAGTAGCCGTTACGTTGGACGCAGCTGGGACAACTTGAGGGTATGTGCTGAGAGGCTTTGGATGATAGTGCGGAGTCCCCGTGTTCTCTCGAGAATTGGGGCCTCTCCTCCTTCTCCCTTTCTCCTCTCTCATGCGAGCTAATACACACAGTTAAACAGCAGCCCCGAGTCCGCCGGCCCTTAACAGGGCTAGGGCGCACGAACACGCTAGCGATCGTCCTCCCGGGAGGATCCGCAAGACGGTGCGGGCTATGCCAAGCGAGAGGCAGCGGGGTTTCAGCAGTACGCAACTCTGAACTGGACGCTTTCTGACTGGAACGGAGCAGTAACTGAACGAGTAGAGATGACAGAGGTGCAGGAGATGATGGGCATGCTGCCATCGCTACTGCAGGCCGAGTCGGAAGGGCAAGGCCAGGAGGGGTCGGCGGCGCTGCAAGAGGGCGCCGCGGGTGCGGCGGAATTGGGGGTTCCGCCGAGCAGCCACCGAGAGCTGTATCCTGCGGTGGTCGTCAGGGAGGGCGACACTGCTGGAGGAAAGACCAGCAGTAGGCCGGGCGTGGAAGGCGCCCTGGTGCGGGATGTGGAGGTCCCTGCTGCAGGTGGGTTTGGTGCATTCCAAGACACCAACTCTCTTCGTAGTACGTTCGGCAGTGCTTGCGTACAGCAGTCTGCTGCCGCTGGAGACACTGGTGAGAGTGTCACAGCAACCGATCAATCCATTCAGGGGAGGTCGGGTGGAGAATGCGGCACGGCGGAAGGGTCGTGTCCACTGTTC